CGACTTGGTTGGATGACAGGTTTTCCGTCTCCGCGACTTGATTGGTTGACAGGTCTTCCGTATCCGCGACTTGCTTGGTTAACAGGTCTTCCGTCTCCGCGACTTGGTTGGATGACAGGTTTTCCGTCTCCGCGACTTTGTTGGTTGACAGGTTTTCCGTCTCCGCGACTTGGTTAGTTGACAGGTTTCCGTCTCCGCGACTTGGTTGGTTGACAGGTCTTCCGTCTCTGCTACCTGGTTGGTTGACATGTCTTCCGTCTCCGCGACTTTCCGTTGCCGGGCATCGTCTCACCTAAGAGCGTCAGTGTTCAGGCGATATAACGGGGCGACCTGCATCCCCCTCAGGTAGTTGGGACCATTAGAGGCGATGTGTTTGATTATGCTAGTTTTAGAAGGCGACTCCGTGGCGTAATATTGCCATGTCCTAACTCTTGTATTTGACTCAGATTCACACCAACTCGATGTTTGTAGGCTTACTTTTACTTTCACGATCTGCCAGGTGCTGATTGGTTTATTTAAACGTAAATGTCTACTAAATGCAGGCGAATTGAGTTCCTCCAAACAGCCGACACTTTCGTGGTATATTAAACTTGTTATGTATCTAAAAGCCTCGTTTGTAAGTTTAAAAACAATTGATGTCTGCATTCGAAGCGCATACTCTGCAACGACGACATTAAGCTTTGAAAGCTCGCGTGAGGTTCAGTTGCGGTCCATGAAAACGTGTACCGATTCTGTACAGCTGATACGAACCCAAGAAAGGAATACACAGTTGGTATCATCTTGGCTCTTTATCTATGATCCGATTTGTGACGTCACAATGATATTTCGAATGTACTTTTATGACTTCATTTCATTGTCTAATCCTGTTATTACAACGGGATGTATTATCGCATGCGTATATTTCCAGAACAAGACGGCAAACGTCCGTGTTTATTTAGAACTCAAATATGCGCAATTAATGTATATCGACATTGTCAATATGGGTCGGACGATGGGACCACACAGGTCAGACAAGGGGACCAAACAGGTCGGATGAGGGGACCGTATGTTCGGACGTGGGACCACACAGGTCAGACGAGGGGACCATACAGGTCAGACGAGGGGACGACACAGGTCAGACGAGGGGACCATATAGGTCAGACGAGGGGACCATACAGGTCAGACGAGGGGACGACACAGGTCAGACGAGGGGACCATACAGGTCAGACGAGGGGACCACACAGGTCAGACGAGGGGATCACACAGGTCAGACGAGGGGACCAAACAGGTCGGATGAGGGGACCGTATGTTCGGACGTGGGATCACAGAGGTCGGACAAGGGGACCAAACAGTTCGGATGAGGGGACCGTATGTTCGGACGTGGGATCACACAGGTCAGACAAGGGGACCAAACAGGTCGGATGAGGGGACCGTATGTTCGGACGTGGGATCACACAGGTCGGACAAGGGGACCAAACAGTTCGGACGAGTGGACCACACAGGTCAGACGAGGGGACCACACAGCTCGGACGTGGGACCACACAGGTCAGACGAGGGGACCACACAGTTCGGAGGAGTGGACCACACAGGTCAGACGAGGGGACCATACAGTCGCAACAGGAACCACACAGGTCAGACGAGGGGACCATACAGTCGCAACAGGAACCATACAGGTCAGACGAGTAGACCATATAGGTCAGACGAGGGGACCATACAGGTCAGACGAGGGGACCACACAGTTCGGACGTGGGACCACACAGGTCAGACGAGGGGACCATACAGTCGCAACAGGAACCATACAGGTCAGACGAGTAGACCATATAGGTCAGACGAGGGGACCATACAGGTCAGACGAGGGGACCACACAGGTCAGACGAGGGGACCATACAGGTCAGACGAGTGGACCACACAGGTCAGACGAGGGGACCATACAGTCGCAAGAGGGACCACATAAGTCAGACGTGGGGACCATACATTCGCAAGATTGACCACACAGGTCAGACGAGGTGACCACACAGTCGGACGAGTGGACCACACAGGTCAGACGAGGTGACCACACAGTCGGAGGAGTGGACCACAGAGGTCAGACGAGGGGACCACGGAGGTCAGACGAGGGGACCACACAGTCGGATGAGTGGACCACACAGGTCAGACGAGGGGACCATACAGTCGCAAGATTGACCACACAGGTTAGACGAGGGGACCACACAGTCGGACGAGTGGACCACACAGGTCAGACGCGGTGACCACACAGTCGGAGGAGTGGACCACACAGGTCAGACGAGGTGACCACACAGTCGGAGGAGTGGACCACACAGGTCAGACGAGGGGACCATACAGTCGCAACAGGAACCATACAGGTCAGACGAGTAGACCACACAGGTCAGACGAGGGGACCATACAGTCGCAAGAGGGACAATACAGGTCAGACGAGTAGACCATACAGGTCAGACGAGGGGACTACACAGTTCGGACGAGTTGACCACACAGGTCAGATGAGGGGACCATGCAATCTCAAGAGGGACCACACTAGTCAGACGAGGGGACCATACAGGTCAATGAGGGAAGATACAGTTCGGACCGAGGAGACCATACAGGTCAGACAAGGGACCATACAGGTCAGACGAGGGGAACACACAGTTCGGACGAGGGGACCATACAGGTCAGACGAGGGGAACACACAGTTCGGACGAGGGGACCATACAGTTCGGACGAGGGGACCATATAGGTCAGACCGAGGGGAACACACAGGTCAGACGAGGGGACCATACAGTCGCAAGAGGGACCACACAGGTTAGACGTGGGGACCACACAGGTCACACGAGGAGACCATACAGTTCGGACCGAGGGGAATACACAGGTCAGACGAGGGGACCATACAGGTCAGACGCGGGACCATACAGGTCAGACGAGGGGAACACACAGGTCAGACGAGGGGACCACACAGTTCGGATGAGGGGAACACACAGGTCAGACGAGGGGAACACACAGTTCGGATGAGGGGAACACACAGTTCAGACGAGGGGAACACACAGGTCGGACGAGGGGAACACACAGGTCAGACGAGAGGACCATACAGTTCGGACCGAGGGGAATACACAGGTCAGACGAGGGACCACACAGGTCAGACGAGGGGAACACACAGGTCAGACGAGGGACCATACAGGTCAGACGAGGGACCACGCAGGTCAGACGAGGGGGCCACACAGGTCAGACGACGGACCACACAGGTCAGACGAGGGACTGTACAGTCGGACGAGTGGACCACACAGGTCAGACGAGGGACCACACTGGTCAGACGAGGGGACCACACAGGTCAGACGAGGGACCATTCAGGTCAGACGAGTTGACCACACAGGTCAGACGAGGGGGCCATACAGTCGCAAGAAGGGACCACACAGGTCAGACGAGGCGACCATACAGTCGCAAGAGGGACCACACAGGTTAGACGAGTGGACCACACAGGTCAGACGAGGGGACCACACAGTCGGACGAGTGGACCACACAAGTCAGACGAGGGGACCATACAGGTCAGACGAGTTGACCATACAGTCGCAAGAGGGACCACACAGGTTAGACGAGGGGACCACACAGGTCACACGAGGGGACCATACAGTTCGGACCGAGGGGAACACACAAGTTAGACGAGAGGAACACACAGTTCGGACGAGGGGAACACACAGGTCAGACGAGGGGACCATACAGGTCAGACGAGGGACCATACAGTTCGGACCGAGGCGAACACACAGGTCAGACGAGGGGACCACACAGGTCAGACGAGGGACCACACAGGTCAGACGTAAATCTATATGTTGAATGTGAAAAGAAACTGCTGTATTGAAACAGGCCAACTCACTGAGCCAACACATGCTCAGTGTGAAATAGCGCCTCATGGAATTCTAAAACCATCATTAGCGTGTTTAGAGGAGATAAAAAATGCAGTAATATGTCTGTATTCTCTCAGCGCCGCCTTTAACCTCTTTAAGTCTTTGAACTAGACGGATAAATATGCGAGCACGCACATACAATCAATGGCAAACAGCTATTTTACTGGGTGTTCAAAAGGAAGATCATTGTTGGTAAGAAACTAGAAATATGATATTAAAAAAAAGATAATTGATAGATTGACTCAACTATCATAATAACAGCACGACTTCCTTATTAGGAAGTTTTTATTTCAATAAGAAGGACGATAACTATCAAATGAACAATTCAAGGTACACCTTGACATTTCTACTCTACACATCTAGCTTTTGTGTTAACAATACTTGGGCATTGTCGTGTGCCAATGCCAACCGGTATCGACACTTTTTTCTAGGCTAGAAATAACCATAGAAGGGCCAGATACTCAACAGTCAAAGAGCTGTAGAATTCTGTGCCTTCTCTAAAATTTCTGCTCGAAATCGATCCGACCTTAATTATATATATGAGTGTCATCAAGAGTTCTGAGTCGGTATGTCTCACCGAGCTTCTCTAGAAAGGTTGGCTACCCAGCGAGCTTCTCTAGAAAGGTTGGCTACCCAGCGAGCTTCTCTAGAAAGGTTGGCTACCCAGCGAGCTTCTCTAGAAAGGTTGGCTACCCAGCGAGCTTCTCTAGAAAGGTTGGCTACCCACCGAGCTTCTATAGAAAGGTTGGCTACTCACCGAGCTTCTCTAGAAAGATTGGCTACCCAGCGAGCTTCTCTGAGCTTCTCTAGAAAGGTTGGGTACTCACCGAGCTTTCCGACAAAGGTTGGCTACTCAGCGAGCTTCCCGACAAAGGTTGGCTACTAACCTTTTGGTATTTTCCGTATAAGTGTATGTGTGCTGATATCAATTGTGTAGTCGAACAGCGGGATTTGACCTAAAATAGCACTGCTGCTATCAACTCGATATTTGAACAGCCATCGCACAGACAGCATGACGTTTTTGTGAGGGTTTCCTCTCGTGTATTCTGTAAACCAGCAATTCCTATTAGGAAAACACAAACTGCCTGTGCTTGTTAATTGTTGCAGCAATCATCGAGGGGAGTATTTGTAAACATGGATCAACTTACTGAACTACGGTCTTACAAGAGCCTTTTCCGGAATACCAATTTCAGCAGATATTTTATAACACCATATAACTTTACAGGAGCAGAGGAAATATTCCAGGAGTTCACCAGCAACTTGTATACGGTACATGAGTATTCCACCGTGATCCTGCTGACTTTATACGTACCGATATTTATGGTGGGACTCTGTGGCAACATTCTGATCATCATTTCTTCCGTTCGTGAGTCAAAACTGAAAAAAACTAAGAATTTCTTTCTTGCTAATTTGGCGTTGGCTGACCTCGCTGTGACTTTATTCTGTATGCCAACATCAGTTGGCACTATCGTCTACCGTCTGTGGATTTACGGGAGATTTCTGTGTAAGTCGACAGCATTTCTACAAGGTATGTGTGCCTTAAAACGTCATTGCATTGATTTTTTGAAATCAGCTGACATATTGACTTTTTTTTCATAAACGTTGCCAATGATTTTTGTTTTCCAAAAACATTGATTTCTTGTGACCAATACGTCGAATTTTGATTTTGATAGACAGAGCATTCAGTAAATCAGGCGAGGTTTGAATGATCTGTGGCATCAAACATGGTTCCACATCGAGGTGCGAATGGTTAAAGCGATCAAATATATTCAGTAATTTGTGTGTGTGTGTGTTTTCTGTCTTCGCACAGCATTCATCAAGATACAAGGAGTATCTTTCCGATATTATGTGGTCTGTTTGGAGACGAGGAATAACAAAATGCCCTCCATCATCTTCTAAAGAATTACTTCAATTTCATGAAATATTCTCCGCATAACGATTACATTTGTCCCCCTCATAGCTGATATGCTTAACTTGACCATTGTACTCTGTCTGCTTGATATCTTCTCATTTACCGATCACTATCCTAATTACCAAAGAAAACCTTACTTCCAGTAAGTTCCGCAAATATATAGTGAGATGCTGAGGACTAATCGACATCAGTTGCCGATCACAATATCTCCGGGGGGAGGGGGTGGATTTGTTCAATGATCTTACTATCGGTAGACTGAACATTATTCATGTTTTGGGTGTCATTGTGATAAGCAGATGTGCTATAACTTTTTGTATTAATTATCAAGGTCGTTGCGTTAGAATATCAAATATTGTTTCACTAATCATGAGGATGATTGATTGACAAATATTGAGACCCTTTCTGCTAAATAATTGTTTTTTGCTTTTTATAACAAAATTAAATTATGTTAATGCCTGACCTCTGGTGACCTTTGAGCTTTGCTGTTGTTTTATAGAACTTTTCGAGAGGAATCAAAATGTGATATTCCATCCGCTCCGAAAGGTAGCGGAAGAATCAAAGCCAAACTTCTACTCACTTTCAATTTGAGTAGAATGCACTATTTCTATAAATCTAGAGCCCTGTCACACACTTCCGTTTACATTGCCGTAGAATTAATCAGGAACATAAAAATAACAACGCTGAGAGGATCGGCAGAACTTCGTCGATAAAGCACTTGAAACACCGAGATTCCTTTGTCCGTTTTTCTGACGTCGTCCTGTCGATTTAAGGACCGATATGGTGTCGAACAGAGCCATGTCATCACATAAATGTTACCGATGGAATTCAAAATGTACACGGGAAGCAGTAGGTTGTAGTACAGGTATCGTCAGAACACATGATAAGTATACGGTACACATTGAGGCCCCTGGAGACTCACCAATCTAGTACGGGGCTGCTGTGCTACCGACATCAACGACGCAATACCAATATTGTTGTCTAGGAACTCTGGTATTTTCGACTGTCGCCTTCCAATGCTAATTTTGTTTATTCCAGATGTCCTGGCGATATTCTAACATTCTTAGCTATGTGACACCGATGGGCTGCCGTACTAGTACAGATCTCTACAAATCGAACAATTCGTCCCCTGGTATAGGTACGGCGAGCCAAATCGGTGTGACAAAGCAAATATGTTATTGCGTCTGTAGATTAGGAATAGAATACTAGGATCCGACTCCGGTATTGTATTCCCTGTGCAGAAATCCTACAAATCATCAAAACGAAATACGTTTTCTCAATCATTGTTACACACACTTTAGGAGGATCATGATATTAACAGAACTGAAAACATTTAATGGATGGGAATGGTCATGATATTTATAGAACTGAAACATTTAGTGGATGGGAATGGTCATGATATTAACAGACCTGAAAGCATTTAATGGATATGAATGGTCATGATATTAACAGAACTGAAAACATTTAATGGATGGGAATGGTCATGATATTAACAGACCTGAAAGCATTTAATGGATATGAATGGTCATGATATTAACAGAACTGAAAGCATTTAATGGATGGGAATGGTCATGATATTAACAGAACTGAAAGCATTTAATGGATATGAATGGTCATGATATTAACAGAACTGAAAACATTTAATGGATGGGAATGGTCATGATATTAACAGACCTGAAAGCATTTAATGGATATGAATGGTCATGATATTAACAGAACTGAAAGCATTTAATGGATGGGAATGGTCATGATATTAACAGAACTGAAAGCATTTAATGGATATGAATGACCACTGACTACTCCCGTGGTCCTGAGAGACAGACCATGAGAGGTTAAATTTGACCACTGACTACTCCCGTGGTCCTGAGAGACAATAAGTCTATAAGAGATTGTATTTTTCCAAATTTTAGTTTTCTTCTACAATTTCGTGCATCACAGAAGGAAATTGTCTTTTCTTCATTGTACTATATATTTCAAAGATTATAATAGTGGTGACGTTCTATGCATACACACATGTACATGACGTTCTATGCATACACACATGTACATGACGTTCTATTCATACACACATGTACATGACGTTCTATGCATACACACATGTACATGACGTTCTATTCATACACACATGTATATGACGTTCTATTCATACACACATGTACATGACGTTCTATGCATACACACATGTACATGACGTTCTATTCATACACACATGTATATGACGTTCTATTCATACACACATGTACATGACGTTCTATTCATACACACATGTATATGACGTTCTATTCATACACACATGTACATGACGCTCTATTCATACACACATGTACATGACGTTCTATGCATACACACATGTACATGACGTTCTATTCATACACACATGTATATGACGTTCTATTCATACACACATGTACATGACGTTCTATTCATACACACATGTACATGACGTTCTATTCATACACACATGCACATGACGTTCTATTCATACAAGGTATCCCGTTGATCAGAGTAATTATCACTTACTACCTATGTGTCGATTTGTCCCTCAGACGATTCGGCCTCTACTAGGTATAACATTACATTGCTGAAAAATCACACGTTCAGAAATTGCGTGTTAAATATTGATTGAAGAATAACAACATTATACTTCGTTCAGCGTCGTGAAATATTGCGAGATTCCGTGGAAACTGGTAAAATACACACAAATGCAAATTAGAATGAGATACCGTCTCGACAAATACCGTCCCGACAAATACCGCACCACACCGACATTATGTACTTCTAAGATTCGTCAGTGTCAGTAAGGGCCTAAATTGTATGTTTGAAATTAAAGCCTTTATTTGCCTTGTTGAATACATTTATCGCACGCTCTCGTATATATCTCCTCCTAGACTCTAAGAGATAAACGTTGATTACACAGGGAATCAACTGATATATTTCTCGTCCAGAGCTCATCAGTCTTTAGGAGTCTGTCGAGTTAATAATCCGTATATTCCTGTTATATAATCTATTAATCCGTATCTGTAGGTTCTTGTGATATAATTCATTAATCCGTATCTGTATATTCCTGTTATATAATCTATTAATCTGTATCAGTATCTTCCTATTGTATAATTCATTAATCCGTATCTGTAGGTTCCTGTTATATAATCTGTTAATCCGTATCTGTAGGTTCCTGTTATATAATCTATGAATCCGTATCTGTACATTCCTATTATATAATTCATTGATCCGTATTTGTAGGTTCCTGTTATATAATCTGTTAATCCGTATCTGTATGTTTCTGTAATATAATTCATTAATCCGTATATGTAGGTTCCTGTTATATAATCTTTTAATCCGTATCTGTAGGTTCCTGTTATATAATCTATTAATCCGTATCTGTATGTTTCTGTAATATAATCTATTAATCCGTATCTGTATGTTTCTGTAATATAATTCATTAATCCGTATCTGTAGGTTCCTGTTATATAATCTATTAATCCGTATCTGTATGTTCCTGTTATATAATCTATTAATCCGTATCTGTATGTTTCTGTAATATAATCTATTAATCCGTATCTGTATGTTTCTGTTATATAATTCATTAATCCGTATCTGCAGGTTCCTGTAATATAATCTTTTAATCCGTATCTGTAGGTTCCTGTTATATAATTCATTAATCCGTATCTGCAGGTTCCTGTAATATAATCTTTTAATCCGTATCTGTAGGTTCCTGTTATATAATTCATTAATCCGTATCTGCAGGTTCCTGTAATATAATCTTTTAATCCGTATCTGTAGGTTCCTGTTATATAATCTATTAATCCGTATCTGTACATTCCTATTATATAATTCTTTGATCCGTATCTGTAGGTTCCTGTTATATAATCTATTAATCCGTATCTGTAGGTTCCTGTTATATAATCTATTAATCTGTATCTGTAGGTTCCTGTTATATAATCTCTTAATCCGTATCTGTAGGTTCCTGTTATATAATTCATTGATCCGTATTTGTAGGTTCCTGTTATATAATCTGTTAATCCGTATCTGTATGTTTCTGTTATATAATCTATTAATCCGTATCTGTACATTCCTATTATATAATTCTTTGATCCGTATCTGTAGGTTCCTGTTATATAATCTGTTAATCCGTATCTGTATGTTTCTGTAATATAATCTATTAACCCGTATCTGTATGTTTCTGTAATATAATTCATTAATCCGTATATGTAGGTTCCTGTTATATAATCTTTTAATCCGTATCTGTAGGTTCCTGTTATATAATCTATTAATCCGTATCTGTATGTTTCTGTAATATAATCTATTAATCCGTATCTGTATGTTTCTGTAATATAATTCATTAATCCGTATCTGTAGGTTCCTGTAATATAATCTATTAATCCGTATCTGTAGGTTCCTGTTATATAATCTATTAATCCGTATCTGTATGTTTCTGATATATAATCTATTAATCCGTATCTGTATGTTTCTGTAATATAATTCATTAATCCGTATCTGTAGGTTCCTGTAATATAATCTTTTAATCCGTATCTGTAGGTTCCTGTTATATAATCTATTAATCCGTATTTTTAGGTTTATGTTAATTAATCCTTTAAATCCTATTTGTATGTTGATGTTAT